TTATATATTCAAATATTATCGTGTCTATATTTCTTTTATAACTGTAATCGTAATTAATCGTGTAGGAGGAACTCAATTTCAATTAGAATCAATTTAGGAAAAAAAAACTAATGCAATTGCTTTATGGATTTTACCATGCTTTTATTTATTTGTTTATTTATTTATTGTTGTTATTTAGACACTCATATGTATAAACTTTCCGCATCTGGAGCGGTTTAATGCATGTAATAATAATAACACCACCAAATTTCCATAATTAGCTCTAATAATACGTAAAAGTAATTTGATACTTGTTCTTCCTTTTTATTGTGCAGGGATCTAGCTCGGATATTTTCTAGAACCTTGCGTAATCCTGACTTTTTTTTTAATATTATATACGACTATCAAAAAATATAGTACAGTAAGACCCCGCTTAACGCTGTTTCGTTTAGCGCTGTTTCGGTTTAGCGCTCTTTTATTTCAACCCGGGGATTCCACGAAATCGCTCGCAGCATACGGGGATTCCCCGAAATATTATGCAGCGATAGGTTTCAAATACATATCCGAAAGAGTGTACTTGTATTTCTTGTTTGGTGCGGTATTGTACAGACATATTTTGAAGGAGTAAATGTGGAAGATTTCGAAGAAATAATTCAAGAAGCAGCGGCTAGTCTTTCTAATGATGAGCTCAAGGAATTAACTGAACAAGAAGAAAACAAAAATGTTGACAGCAGTGATTCAGAAGAAGAGCAAAACGAACTTCAGATGGCGTTTGTAAAAAGGAGTTTGTCTACCATAACTGAAATAATGGATCAATTCATTGAAAATAATCCGAATTTTGACAGGAGCTCAAAAGTAAGGCGTGGTGTTAGAGATGCTCTATCCGTTTATGAAGAACTTTTAAGAGAACAACGCAAAAGAAAAAGGCAAACAGCATTAGATGCTTTTGTCACAAAAAGGCAGAACACTGAAAACGCGGAAGGCTAACTAAATATGACTGACTTAGAATTTTATTTTATTTATTTTTTTTAAGAATATTCGTTTTGTTATTTATATTTTGTTTTTATTTTTGCAAGAAATAATAATGTGGGTATTAATTTGCGCTTTAAGAAATAAATGTTTGATTTTATTTTTTATTAAAAAACATACTTTTTAAATTTAATACCTAACCAATTTCCTAGCCATCTTCCCCTAACCCCAATATTTACATGTAAAGATAGCCTCGTTTAGCGCTGTTTCGCATTACGCTCTACTTTGATGGAACGTATCCCCCGCGTTAAGCGGGGTCTTACTGTATACTAGCGAGCAAGTCTGCCAAATGAGAGGGCTGCGGTCAAAACAAAATTTATAAATTCTATGTACACCTGAAAAGAAAACGTATAAAAATATTTCGGTGTGAATAAAATTAGTTCATTCTTTCAAAGCAACAACCAAGTCGTAAGTAATTTTTTGTTGCCAAACCAGGAAACATAAACTTTTGACACTTCAGTTTAATATGAATGATTCATGATTTAAATTTTATGTAATATAACAACTTGTTTCCAATATCGATATAAGAATTAACGTGGCAATAACATATTGTGTCTGCTAACCCAAAACAAAAAAGTTGGCAACAGCTGCTATTTATGTAAACTGCTGACATTAAAAAAACATTTTCGACATACAATGACGTCACATGCAGCCGCGAACTTTCGTCAACGTCAGAATATGACCTTATATAACAATAATAATGTTTGGCAATGGTCGTTTTATTTCATATTTTGTTAAATTTACAAATTTTTATGTACAAACTCTACAATTTGAAAACGAGCAGTGGGGACACTTTTGGAAATAAAGCATTTTTATCTCTAGTGCGTGCGACTGTTGCCACTCGGAAAAATGAGTGCGAAAATTAGCGTTTTCAGAGTTTTTAATTAATATCTCGGCTGATTAGTCGTACGAATGGTCAAAATGGCTTTCCACTAAATTTTGGAATCCGAGGGTACCATTTTCGAAACTCAACTCGCCGCCGTTCCGAAGGAGATGATAAAAACAGACAGAGGCACATAGATTTTAATAGTACAGATTTACTTCCATTCCGGAAGAGGTATATGTACGGTGACCAGACGTCCTTTATTTCAGAGGACAGTCCTTTATTTGAAGGCTCTGTCCTCTAACTTTATTTATTTCCTGAAATAAGCATATTGTCCTTTATTTTGAGAAATCGTCGCAAAATCAAATTTCTCAAATTGGTTTTCTGCAACTCTAGATCGGAGCACCCGCAACGTATTTTTCTAAATGCCATCCGAGCCGTACGCTGACAAATACGCAGTCGGGCCGGAGCAATGCTTGCTTCTCGCGTTAGTACCACCACCATCACATAACTAGGGACTGCTTAGTTTCTTTAATCTTTGTGTTCATTCTCCTTCTACGGTTTGTGCATAAATGATCGCAATATTTGGGATAATTTTGACCCTGCCCATCCCCAATCCCCATGTCACAATTTGTCACACCTTGGAAGACCCCAAATTAACATTTGTGACGTCACACGAACGCACAAACCCCCACCCCTAACACAAAATTATTGAGCACGAATTTAAATTACCATAACCCCCCCCCTCATGTCACGTTACAAGTGTCCTTTATTTTCTCCGAAAAAATATGGTCACCGTAGGTATATGTTATGTTAGAAACAAACAATCAAATGACACGCGTAGATTTTGATAGTATAGATTCATGAAAAAGATGCAGGAATGTTTCTGCGTCAAGAGACTTGTAATTTGTCTCTCGAAATCCATGTAACTTTTCTGTTTGAAATTGAAGCCAAACAGAAGATCATTTTGTCAGTTACATGATGTATTATTTCACGTCATGTCTAATATATAACTGACATTGCATTGTTTTAACAATAATTTGGATTCATATTCACCGACTGTACTTTGATTAAGAGAAGGCTTAAGCATTAGATTACTGCATCAGTTGGCAGTTAAATTATTAATGTAACATTATTACGTCCTTGACTAGAAATTGGTGTCGATGAGATAGATAATATTCACTACTTGTAGGTGACACGGTATTCGAAACATTCACCTGTGTCTGCCCGCCCCTAGGAAACATGTCACCCCACACACTCTTTGCCGAGGGGTGTGTCTGTGTATCTTCTGCGGAAGAGAGGGAGGAAAAGAAAAACCTAGAGCTGTTCAGACAGAGACCAAAGAAGAGCTTGGAGTGACGCGAATGAGCATGCGCTGTCCGCGACCGTCGACCCCGCAAAGGTCAGCTACTTAAGTTCACACAGGGTCCACCATCACGCCCTTTGGTCCTATTTTCACCCTTTTGAAAAAGAAAACGAAGTAATAAAACTACAAAGCTATGCTAAATTTATTGAATGTGAGATATGTACATTTCATGACATCCTTTTAATTTATAAATTAAAAAAATAACAAAATATAGATTATAATTAATTTATATTAATTTTATATTAATTATTTATATTAATTTAATTATATAGTGTCAAAATAGCAGTAATGCACTCTGTTTCAGCGAATGCGAAATAATTATTATTCTGTTACTGGAAGAACTATAAAAATAAGCTGCCTTATTATAGCTCAAGAAATTAAACTAACGATTATAGTACTTTTTAGTTTTAACAAATAAGGCTTCCTAGTAATTCCTTGTACAAAGTAAAATTTCGGGTATTATATTTCAACAAAAATATCCATTTTGACCGCTCTAGAATCCATTTGAACGATGCTTTTGCGTCACATCTGTACTTACGGACTCTATTTTAATTGTAAATTTTTTTAAAAAAACTGTTCTTAACTGTGTTTGGTTTTTTATGTTTTTCCGTATTTTACAATTTTTAATGAAGTTGTTTTGAGTTTTTATGTATTTTCTCCTTGCGACGAAGTGAAAACTGAATAAGCCGTACGAAGGAGTCAGATTTTTTTTTTTTTTTTTTTTTTTTTTTTTTTTAAGATTAATTTCACTTTGTGTATATTAGAAAATTATATTGTTAATTGATATGGTATAGGTCTTGCATCATTAATATGAAAGAATGAATGTGAATATTAATGATATGGTATAGGCTTATTAACAGGTCAAAGCAAAAAACGAAGCCTACGAAGCCTCTGTAGAAAAGGCTTCGTAGTAGTTTAACAATACATTTGTATTTAAATGAAATTTAGCTTCCAATATTCTAAAATTGCAATAGATAATAACGTCAAAACTGTTGTTTTAATGCAGTTTTTATCACTATTAAAGATGCTATTCAGTGACAAGGGAAAAAGGGGGGGACGTATTTATGATTTGTATTTATTTACCCGGGCACCATGAAAATTCCAAGTGCTTAAAGTGGCATTAAGAATTTTAGTTACTTCATACGATTTTTATGAAATTTTATTTTTAACTAAAATAAAAATATCCCCAACTGATACGCGATAGAATGCAAGGGTGATGCCTTAATATGAACAATACTAATTGCCACAGTTCCACCTTTCTTTAAATTAGTTACATTCTGTATAAAATAAGACTAAAAATAAAAAATAAAAATTTAAAAATAAATTTTTCGAAATTTTACACTAGACAAATCTCGCTAGAAACAAAAAATTAAAATATCTTCTGTCGCTGATCATTATAACTCTACCTCCCAATATTTTTCAGGGTTTAAAAATTTAATTCTTTCAAAGTTTTTCACAAAACACGGGACAATATACGATAATTCTAGTTCATTTAATTCCAGTCATCATTACTCGAAAAGATTTATCAACCTTATCTCATAAATTTTCATTTTCGTGTGATTTGTTTAATAGCTAGCCTTGAACGGTAGTTTTATTTAGAGTACATGAAAATAACGAGCATGCTTATAACGTTTACTTCTGATAAAAGGAGACTCACCCTTTGGGTCTTAATTTTTAAGCATTCTCGTTTGTAAAGAATGACAAAAAAGGGTTAAATTTTGTCAGGTATTAATATTAAAATAATACGAAGATACAAGTTTTAATGCATTTGTTCTTATAACTGTTTTTGCATTGTATTTCTAGTATTCTGCTTTACTGAGGCTACCTGACACCATGCCTTACTCGGAGAAGATACGGCACGTGGAATGCATCATCGACGTTTTGGATCTCAGGAGTTGCCAAGACACAAGTGAGTAATCTCAGCTACTAAATAAATCGCAATTACCAACAAAAACGTATTTTGAAGTTCTGGTTAGAAGCCCACTCTGCTGCGTTTTGGATTGGTAGAGTCAGCTGTAATAATTAGTATTGGTATGTTCCTGAAGAACATTGAAAATTTTTTTTTTTTTTTTAAATGGCAAAATGCCACCTTGATGCTGATTGGTACAAAAAAAAAAAAAAAAAAAAAAAAAAGTACCTAGAACTAGGTACGACTACTTTTTTTTACTATTGGTTCATGAGTTTGAATTGAAATTGTTTTGCTTTGATGATATTTAATATTGTTGGAGATTTGTGAGCAGTTTTGGAAATGTATTTTATGACGGTTCAGATATTTAAATCGGTATATATATTGGGCTACTGCTTATAAACCAAGGAGCTCAGGATTAATAGCTATTAAGAACGTAGTGGTGTGATACCACTGTTTTGAAAAGTGCATTTTTACAGTAACACCAGAACAAGCCCACGAAATTCATCATGGCAAGTAAAGCAAGATTGAGCCTGTCGTTGGCTAACGTTTTGAGCACCATACAGGCGATAGTACGACTTCGCGAGTTCCGCTTCAATTTTGAGGGAGAGCACCTCGGGAGGACCGGTTTTTCCCTTACCATCAACCTCTCGAGAGGACTTTCGGCTTTCCCTGCATTTAGAGTCCCCTATGCCGCAAAGACACTATACATTTACAAACATCCATACCTTCTCCGGAATTCGAACCCGGACCTTTCAGTATCGCAGTAGGTTTCCCTACCTACTACTATACCGTCTGGGCGGGTTGCATTTTGACAGTAGTCTACACCACAAGAAATCTGATGAATAGGGAAGACATTTATTATGAATTTAGCATGGCATCAACTATTACACTAAAGACTTTTAATGTCCCGGTTGGCAGTTTGTTGTGCAGGAAAAACAATTCGTTGCCATACGAGTTAAAAATATATATATCGTATGGCAACGAATTATTTTTCCCTCACAACAAACTGCCAACCAGGGCATCTGGACAAAAGCTGGTACATCAATATATACATGATGTACCAGCTTTTGTCCGGAAGAAATAGATTGGTGAAGAATCATAAATGTAGTCGTAGCTTAAATTATCAGACGATAAGTTTAAAAAAAACATGATCCATTTATTGTGTTATTCAGGAGAAATAACAATTACAGAAATCTGATCTCCGGAGTAAATAAAAAAGAATTACTAATAACTTTTTGTAGGAAGTTAACTGCATCGTTACATTAAAGAAAAGGCCCCGATATTCTTTTGCGAGTCCTTTTATAGCCTCTGGAAAGGCGGAGCTTCCAAGAAATGACGTCAGCCTCGTCAACCATTCCAGTTCGCTTTAAATATCTCCAGAACATTCTATAACTGTACGTGTAGAAAAGGCGGGAAAAACAACTCGACTACGGCGCTGTGGATTTAATTCCACGTACTTTCAAATAAGAGGCCGTCGCCATTAAAAATGAAAAGAACATACAGTTAGAATTTTAAGTGTATTCTTGACTGTGGAATTTTATTATTACAAATATATTGACAGTTCTTCTTTATTGAGATATCGTTAAAAATGCAACTTGAATAATAGAATCATTTTCAAAACAAATGATAATATTATACTATTCAGCTTGCGCAAATTCTGCCGGATCTAAATTTTCACTCCAACTGCGGCCAGATGTGTAAATAATTATTTTGAACTAATCTGTATTATGTTGCACGGTTAATAAATATAAGGAAATAGTTATGAAAACAAGAATCGGATATATAAGTATGGTAACCCCTTACATCAAATGTCTTAATGCATGCGAATATTTATTGATTGATCTGCCTGCTTGGAATTGCTTTAATCAGAAGGCATCTGAGAATTACTCGATTCCTTACTCTTCCAAATTTGTCATCTGTTCATAAGGGCCCTTAAAATAGAAATGAAATATTCGTTGATGAGTATCAAAAACTATTGTTCGAAATAGAGTTCTCCTGAGAATTATTTTTGCTCTCTTTAGGTGGTAATCTGTGCGTTTTGTATTCAGCAGTGCATGATGGTGGAATCTTTTTACTTCCACGATATATATACACACATCATAAATCGACCAGAGGGCAAGAAAACCTGAAGCATATGCAAATTTCATATTTTATTATCAAAGTTAACAAGGTCGGGCCCATGCATCTCTGAGAATGTAATTGCAGTTGTAAATTTCCTCCTCGCAGTTTCCAATAAAAAGAATAAATTTATATGTGCTGTAACTTACGACCCGGTTATCCTTTGGATTTGTTAAACGAAATCCGAAAGTAAATTATTATAAGCAATGTGCTTTCATATTAATGATGCAAGGCTTATTAATTTAACAATAACAAACCTTATGAAGATTAAAATGCAATGGGTTTTAAAACAGCTACCACCAAAAGATAAGTAAAGATTTTTTTAGCAATAGTATATTGCCCAGATTTTAGATATTTAAATAATCTGTTACCTATTTTTGCTGTAGGTGTATTTTATTCCGAAAGGGTATACTAGAATTAGTACGCTGAAAGGCGAAACGAAATGATGCTTAGGGGCAGTTGCTTGAATTAAATGTTAGTATTGGAAAAGCTGAAAATACGCTACTTTTATTAAGCAGTTAGTAACTGATTGCTCGGAAGATGTTGGAGTCATCCACTACAGTTGCTTTGTTCATTTGAAACGACTTTTAACTTATTCACAGCAGGATTTGCAACATCAGTGTTCTTATGTCATTCACAATGTCTTAAATTTAAACGCAAAAGTGTTTAATGTGAAGATTAGTTAGTTTAAGAAAATGCGAATCCAACTCACCAAAATTTTTAGCCCAGAAGGGCTATTAATTTCGTTTTAGCATTTTGCTTCGATTCATTCTCTGCGTTGATTCACTTTTCAAACTGTTGCCACCAGCCCTGTATTATATTTAAAGAAATTAAATAATGAAGAATCTACATAAAATGTATGTGTGTTTCTCACATTGTGATAAAACAAAAGTACCTAGAGCCATCCAATTTTGAATAACGTAATCCTCCAGCGAATGTAAGCATCTGGAAGCCCGAATTTGGAATTTCTTTTATTATCTATTTCATATTTTGTCAGACGTTAAAGAATTTTTGATTAAGAAACTCAACGATTTCAAAGCGAGCAATGGCAACGCTGCCCCCGGGGGGGGTATTTTTATCTCCAGCTCGCGAGATTGTGTATAGGAAATTCTAAAGATATGCTCATTTTAAAATTATTTTGCGATATTGCTAGTGAACTGAATTTTATGGTTTAAGTGCGAAGAACAGGATAGTTAATAAATGAAGGTAACATACAAAACTTTAAAAAACGCCCCTTTGGGCGTAATTTAACATCTCAGTGCTTGCAGTCCAACGCCCCCCCCCTTACATTCAAATCCCTGTCAGGATTCTTTCCTAAACTTCATTCCGAGTTTTTCTAGGTTTTCTTATGGATTTAATTTTGGTTCCGCAAATGATTTACGTTCAGAAGAAGAGAGAGCTATTCTGTTCAATTTTGTAAACCTACAGCTTGTTCGCGCGGAATTTTCGACATCGTACTTCTGATACGTGGGGTGTCGCAATGTGTGTGAGGGAGAGTATATGTAAAAGAGAGGAAGGGAAAAAAAATCATAGATACGGGCAATGGTCTCTAAGAATTTCACGAAAACTTCGAAACCAGTAGGCATACAAGAAACCTTAAAAAAGAAAAGAGGGAATTTTTTCTCTTTATTTGTCTTCACACTTTGTAAAGTGTAATGACCGCTAGCCTTGCACGCTTTCAGCCTTAAAAATTCCAGTTCACCGAGCTTCTGTATCAAATCTCTCACATTTTTACGCTTCCTGCCTTATTTTTCATGATTACCGTTATTGCTATTATTTGTTTCTGTTTTGCATGTTCATCTGCTCAGTGTTTCCAGGCCAAGGTTTTTAGGTCATACACGTTTCTTATTCACATGTTTGCTTCGAGTCAGTCCAATGAGTTTTTGCACTCTACTTCTGCACGACTGCCACATGCGCGTAATCTTTTAAAGTGTGTTTGTGGAGGCTCATCCTACCCGCAAGGCTGACGGAATGTTGTCCTACATTCCATCTCCTGCGGAATCGGTGTCGGTTAATAGCAGATCTTGAATGAATAGCGCGGGCTTCATTCATCCGTTGAATCGGAATCATATCATGGTATCTTCGAGTAGACTGTTGGCATTATTGTTTGTTTGGGTATTATTATTATTATTTTTTTTAAACGAAGTTATCGGAACGTGGCAGCAAATCGTCTGAGTCGAAGCATCGCGTGGAGATTAGATTCTTTGGATTCTTTTCTGAAAATATAAATTATTTAAAAGATTTACATCCTTCTTAAAAAACTCGCATTTAAGTATTGTTATGTAATAATCCCGACTTGTAATTTCACAGTTCCTCTGATTGGGCTACAAGTCTTCAAACTGGACGTTGCAAAAGGCGCTAGAATTTCACCCTACATCCAACTTCTCCCCAATCCTTTGCTTTGTAAATTTAACTGGACTTTTCAGTCTGTACTTTTTGTAACTCTGGACAGTCCATGGATAAGGAGCAATATGAGCATATTGACGAATGCACTGCACTGTTGTCTGTTATTTCTATTGTTCTTAAATATTGGGAAGCAAGATCAAGGCTAATGGCTTAGTGGTCAAATATCTGGCATTTGTATAAATAAATATTAGATGGGATTGTGCAGCAGTAAATTTAAACGTAACTTTCAGTATTGGTTTGTAGACATCAGCTTGAAATCTTCGAATCAGTGGTCCATTTTCAACAAGCACGATATGGTCAGTTGCATCCAAGAATTCTAAAACTAACGATTGTTTCTGTACTTATTCAAGGACGAATGAAACGGTACTGTTCGAAAGTTGAAAGAGGAGTCCGTTCTACCCTGAGAAGCATTATTTAATACAGAGTTGTGAATTTAAGACCAGCTGCAACATTCCAGCTGCCTAGACGAGTGTTGTTGGTGCTTCGTAGAAATGATTAATATTTGAAAGTTTTCGCACCAAAATAAACAAACCAAATAACAAAACAAAATAAACAAACTGAATAAACAACAAACTTTTCGCACCAAAATAAACAAACCGCCTTTGTTTATTTTGGTTTTTCGTACCTAAATAAACAAAGGCGGTTTGTTTATTAAATTATATTTTGGTTGTTTATTAACCAAATTATATTTTGGTTTGTTTATTTTGGTTTTTCGCACCAAAATAAACAAACCAAAATATAATTTGAAAGTATATTTTGGTTTGTTTATTCAGTTAGTTAAAAATAAAGAACTCTTAAAATTTGCCAACTATTATAAATAAAGTCTTATGTCCTTTTCGTAAAGCGAAATCACGGATGACATCACTGTGCTGTAATTTTTTAGCGTTATCACTTTCTGTTGACAGGAAATGTCAAGGAAATTGCACGTCTCTATCAACGAACTCAACGATAACAGCTTAACTGCTATCAAATTTGAAAAGTTCTTTCTTAGTGTTTCTGCTACTTCAGAATGAGATCCTTTAAGTTGTACAGTTCTTTGTCAGCTTTTTAATGCTAATATCAAGCTTTCCACTTATTCTACCATTGATTGCCGCTTGTGTTAAACCATGTCGCAAATCTTTGCCGTTTTCTGTGAATGAGATTTTATTCATTTTTTCAAGATCACGTGAAGGAATGATCGGCGTTTGCTTACCGCGTTGCGTTGTTTCTCAAGTCTGCTTGATGAAAAAAGCGTTTTGATGTATTATAAGGGAACTAACGGGGACTGCTTACTCTCAGCAGTCCCCAACATGCACCTTCTTTTCATGTTCTGGTCCTTATTTCAATGTTCCTCGTTTCTTGGCCAATCCCCGGAGGACACAGTACTAAGCTCTTTATTTATTTGCAATTCCATCGACGGGATCCAACAGGCTGAAAAGCACCTAATGCAGTGGGCCAGCTGTTCCGTCGATGGTGAAAAGAAAAAAGAAAGGGTGATTCAAATTAAAGTCCCACTTTAAAAAGGGTGTAAAAAAAGCACCGCTGGTCAGAATGATCTAAAATTTCACCTGAATATATGCAAGACACTAGCAGGGTAGACACAATCTTTGAGACGCGATGTGCTCAAAAAGCATGGATATGAAGGCAAAATAAAGTTAGAACAGTACTTTGCATGGCGAATCCAAGTCATTTGTTACCGGTTAGTCAGCCGATATTGATCAAGGAGATACGGCCTTCTTCATACAGCGGGGTATTTGTACTGACTATTTTCTTTTGTACTTCACCTCGTATCCTGTCTGCATTTCTACCAGTGTATAGTCTTCCATGAGAATAACTTCGTTAGTAAATAAATTGATGCCTTAGGCGAGTATTTTTGTCACCTGTGGCTGAATCCGGAACTGCCTGAAATGGGTGAATAAGGAAAAAGACGATGAAGAACAAATAGAAAGAAATTTGTAACATTCAAGAGTATAATTCGGTTTTGAAAATAATGTACGAAATTTAATATACTCACAGCTCAGCGTATTAGCAGCAATGTGAATGTAGCTTTAAAATGAATTTAATTTTTTTAACCACATTAATTTACTACAGCTAATAAATAGTAAACTTATAAAGTATTTTCTCTCTCATTCCCGCATGCCTTCGTGGTGTAACAGTGGCACTCTCGGCACATATTCGAGAGGTCCAGGTTCGAGTACCGGCGAGGGCACTGCACATTTTTCATATCTTCTGCTTCCAAAAGACCTAATGACCCTACAGTGGCGTTCGAATTAAAAGGTGGTGGTGGATGATGATTCTTCACCACCAGTATTTGTCGATTGGGTCACCTAATCCCCAGTTGCCTTTTAAAAGGAGTAGTATATAAGGTATTTTCACCCTCATTTCAGCATGTCGTCGTGGTATAACGGCAGCACACTCGGCGCGTATTGGAGAGGTTCATGTTTAAGTCTCGGTGAGGTCGTTGCTCATTTTTCATGTCACCTACAAACTAACTATACACAAACTACTCCGACGATGGACTGAAGCGAAATTCAATATTCTGTTTATTCCTTCTATCTCATTAAGAAATTAGGAGTTATTTCAAATACGATGTTCATATTTGGTGAAACATTTTGTTGTCATAGGTTTTGAAGGGCTAAGTTTTTTTTTTTTAAAGGTGCTTTCTTTCTCAACTTTGGAGTAAGGCCGCGTGGTGAAGGAATCTACTTTTTCTTCACCACTGCTATTAAGAAAATCCATCGGTTGGTTCATTTCTAATATACGACTGAGTTATTTAACGATGGTAAAGTTGGATGGTAAATTCTTTGTTTTTAATCCTCTTTTGGAGAGTTGCTGTTTCTCGTCACGATGCTTTCAGAGCACAGGGCAAAGAACGAAAAACGCGTTTAACTTAACTGTTACGATCTAACTCATTATATAACACCATTTAAAGAAAGGTAAAAATTCCAACCATTTTTCAAGTCAACAGATTAAGCTCAACTGCTCTCGCCATTCAGAGGGGATTTATTTATCCCTCATTGCTTCTGAACTTTTTTTTTTTTTTTTTTTAAATAGGAAGGCAGAACATAAAACTAAAAATTCAAAACCTTTCATTACGGAGGAGTTGCAATGCATAATCTGTAAGTTATGCAACTCATTTAACATCAGATACACAAGAACTGGTTGAAGAGCGATTCCCCCCCTTCGCGCCTTTTATTTTTCAATTTATTTATTTATTTACTTTTTAAACCTGTCTTTCCGATATGTCCCCCCCCCCCGCTTTCTCGTGTTTATCCCGAAATCTGATGTGAAAGTCAGTCACAAAATGAAACAAGCAAATATTTAGGACTTTTATTTCTTCTTTATTTGCATTCGTTTCAGTGCCGTTCTGGTAAAAATAGAGATACTTTTTTGTGTATGCGCTTTATGTATATAAAGTATATACAGAGAGAAGATATTTAACCGAGAAAAGTAAATTTCTTTTAACTATATTTTTTATTATAACTGCCAAAGGCAAACGGCTGTTTGTAAATATATAGTGCCCATGCGGCATGGAGGGGCACTATAAATATGCGGCAAGAAGAAAGTCCTCTCGAGACGTTGGTGGTAGGCGAAGAGGGGGGTGGGAGACCCTCTGACCCGTCCCCCTGGATGCTGTCCCTCAAAAATGGGGCCGGAACTGAGCAATGTCGTACTGTCACGTGCTCGGGGCTCTTGCCAACAACAGGTGCAATCTTGCGCACCTTGCCACGATAAATTTCTTGGGCTTGTCCTGATGTTACTGTCAGACCGTGAAATAAGTCACAACAACAATACTGTGGATAAGTGCTTGCTTTAATTGGCCTGAATTTGATGTTAAAATAACGAAACAAGCCATCTGCACTTTCCCTCAAACTCTCTGAAATAAAGAAAAAGAAATAAAAATCTTGTCTTTCCAGAAAAGTCCGGAATTTTTTGTAGGGTTGCCACAACGTATGCAGGATAACAATATCCTAGTTTCATTGTTCATCAAAACATAATTTTATGACATTGCTCTAGAGTAATTTTCAGTTTATTACTCTTTATTAGTTATTGTTATTTTATAACTGAAAATCCTCTTTCAGAATAGATTTTGAAAGAAATTTTATATTCTTTTACTGCCACGAAATTTTACAAAATTTACAGCAGTATTTGTTTCAGAGTTTCTCTTATATCTGATATTAATTAAGGTAAATTAAAAAAATATCCCTCCAATAGCAACAGTCTTTTTTTTACATTTGATTAAAAGCCCCTTTGAATCCTCTTTGGCGAAATTGCAAAAGCTGCACGAGTGGTATATTGTAATCTAGAATTAATCTTTACATGAATCTTTGAAGGCGAGTTGGGAGGGACTAAAAGTACTAACGAGGAAACCATGGCTAGTCGCCGAAATTGGGAAACTCTATCATTTAATTTGAAAATGTGCAAATTTCAAATGTACCCTACGGTCCAAACTGAAATCAGACATTTAAATCGCGTGCCCTTCTAATTTTCAAATTCAACACAATGAAGTTTCATCAAAAGGCACTTCTGTTCCTTTTCTTGTGTTTATTAATGGGAACTTACTCATGGAAGATCATTTGTAACGGACGATAATAAAATTTAACTCTGAGAACTGTCATAAAATTTATCCTCATTACGTTCTTTCTCACACTAACCTTAGTTTTTTAAAAGTTATCAATATTTTAAAATTTTGATTGTGATGAAAGAAAATAAATGCGTATATAATATAAATAATTAATTGATGAATCTTCACATTTTTTTTTTTTTTTTCAGTTATTGGTGACATGTTAAAAAGAGGTCTTTCTGGTGGTGAAAAGAAAAGAGCCAACATTGCTTGTGAATTACTCCAAAACCCATCACTTATGCTTTTGGATGTAAGCAAATACTTATGTTCTCAAATATAGTTTTTATGGTGAAATTGTTTATAAAAGTGAAGCTTAATTAAATATGTTATTAATTTTGTTTTGTATTCTTACCTGATCCTAAATAAAGTAACTCTTGATGTTTATGAGATAGTGAAGAAATTATGTTACATTATTTAATACTGATACAAATTTATTTAAAATCAAACTTTTCAAATTTAGAACCAATTGTGCCTAAATTTCTCATTTTGTTAAAAAATGGCTATAAGTCCTTCTTTATTTACCTTCCTGTTCTTAAATGTATATTTTACCAGACTTAAAAGATACTTCAGAAATTTATTCTCTTGTTTTGTTATTATAGGAGCCTACATCAGGCTTGGATTCATGTACTGCTCATTCCTTGATGCTTTCCTTAAAAAGACTGGCCTCTGAAAACAAATCGCTTGTGGTAACTGTTCACCAGCCATCTAGCCAAATATTTTACATGTTTGATAGACTGTTGCTGCTTTGTAATGGGCAGGTGAGATTAATGTTGATTTTTAAGTAATCTTTTTCTGCTAAAATAAGTAAATTATGATATGGGAGTAAATGTAAGAAACGTCTTATGATATTTATGTAAAATATTTGGTATTTACGTATTAACGTAACCACCTTGGCGCAATCTGGCGATTTTTTTACGGATGAAAGGGCAAAAAGTTACTTATCAGGTGTAAGTTCGTGGCTTTCGCGACTTTTTTTCAAGAAAGATTCCCAAACTATTGATATTTATTTAAGTCGATAAACATTATCAAATGCAAAGAAATATACTTCAGTAATTTAAAATACAAATTTTAAGCATTAATTAAGGACTTCGTTATATATTTTTTTAAAAATAAAACAGTTATATTCTTCAAATCTTTATGTAATTTTCTGGCGCTAATCTTCTGCCAAAGAACAAAGGGATCGATTTACACTTTAAAAAAATTCAGAGAATTGCAGGGACTCGGCATCGTGCCATCGTCGGCAACAGCGGTTATCTAGGAAATTAATCTCCTTGTTGTTCCCTTTAGAAAATTTTCAGATAACTTCTATGTTCTTGCAGACTTCCAAATTTTACAGCAGTTTCTTCCATTGCTGGCTAATTCCACATGGGTATACTACAGAAAACTACAGAACTACTACAAACTACAGACAATTTCACGGTTTGTTTGTAAAAACCATTGGTGCTTGGAATACAACAAACAAGAATGCATACGAAAATGGCGGCATTGCTTGACTGAAGGACTGCTATGTGCATGGTTGCCAGAGTTTGGCACATTCGGAAAATTTGGCGACTTCTACTAAAGTGTTTGCGTTAATACATAAGTACCAATTATTTTTATCATATCGAACCCAGTTAATGCTGATTGATGTATATGCACAATTTATATTCCATGTCATGAGAAATATTCCTGATACATAAGCTCATAGAAGTGTTACTGGGTAGAATAATACCTCCAGAATTTGAAAGGCTATTATAAAGAACTAAAATCTTATGTTAATAACTTTTCCCCCCTACAGCAAATTATTTATCAATGAAATATATAAAATACACCTTTTTTTTATTATGTTTCATTATAGGTGAATGAGCAGCCCATATATTTCCCAATATTGTCCTCTCATGTCAGTCCCAAATCTAGTATAAAGCTTTCAAGTACAAATATTTAGCATGAAGTTTAGAAAATTTGTTTAAACTAGTTCAATTTGTCTTGAAAGTATAAATATATTCTTTGGATAATTAGAGACATGAGCCATTATTAATACTTCAGCTTACAAAATTGTGTGATATTTTTATTGGCTTTAGGATTTATAGAAAATGGTTTAAAAGTTTTTTCCTTCTAAATTTTATCCTAAATTTCAAATTTAAATCTGGAAATGCAAAACAACCACATATTTGTAGGAAGACCGTATTTTAAAGTGATTCAATGAGTACAAATGAGTACTCATTGTACTTCATGAGTACAAATATTTAGCATTTCATTGCTTATGCAGAACAATGATTAAGAATTAAGAAGTATAATTTTGCCATTCTGTTATCCCTTGAAACAGTATATGATATTATTCAGTATAGGTACTCTTTTTTTTTTAAATTGCTAGATTGATTTGAAAGTTTAAAAAGAATAGAACTCTTTACTTTCATACCTAGAAGAGAAAATACACTATGAATTTACACAGCAGCATAAATAGCACTCTAGTATTATCCTATTTAATGTTTTCAATGTCTAATTATGAATATTGAAGTTGTTCCATTTAATCTTGACTTTGGAATTATGCATGATCATATTACAAGATTTCATTCACTGGTATGGGGCAGTACTATTTTTTCCGATTTTTGTGACCCTTTTAAGAACTGTTTCCTTAAATTTGTAAACTTTCTAAACTTCATTATGACAAACATAATTTGCATTCACAGTATAAGCACAGAATAAAATTTTTGCTTGCTAATCTTAAAAATTTTTTAAGTGATGTCAAAATAATATTACACGTTTCTTATTGCCATTAGTTTCATTAAACATCTTTTTTATAGGTTGCATATTTCGGTGATGCTAGGAAAGTTGTTGATTTTTTCAGCCATTTAGGGATGCAAATTTCTGCTCATTATAATCCAGCTGATTTTATAAGTATGCATAACAATTTTTTTAAACTAAATTTTAAGTTTATTACTTTATTTTCTTATCTCCTAAATTACTTTTTAAAAATTTTCTGTGTTCTATATTCTCTGCCTAAGAAATCAAAATAAAGTAAAATTATTTCAAATCATTAATGACAGATTATTGCTAAAAAATCTGTTTCACTAAATTCTCCATGAGGGAAAATTTGTTTAAACTAGTCCAATTTGTCTTGAAAGTATAAATATATTCTTTGGATAATTAGAGACATAAGTCATTATTAATACTTCAGCTTACAAAATTGTGTGATATTTTTATTTGCTGGAGGATTTTAAGAAAATGGTTTAAAAGTTTTTTCCTCCTAAATTTTATTCTAAATTTCAAATTTAAATCTGGAAATGCAAAACAACCACATATTTGTAACATGCAGGAAGGACCATATTTTAAAGTGATTCAATTCATACAAAAACTGTTTAATGCTTTAAAAAAATAACCCATTTTCATTAACCAATAACATTTTAAAATCATAATGAAGAAACTTCTTTATAGTGATTTAAATGTTGTCAAATATTATATATTATTCATGAATATGATATATTTTTATGAAGAATTGCACATTATCTGATTTAATTACTAAATTCTGCCAATATATTTTTGTTAATAAATATTTTTGTTTACAAAAATAATAAACCGTTTAGTTAATTATTTTGCATGGCGTAAAATTTCTTAAATCCTCCTATTGTGTATATGGATGAATTGGACTTAGGTAACAGAATTAAATTCTTTTCTAACTAATTTAATATTCTGTATTAATTTAAATGTTGCATTTTACTTTTTTTATTTTGAACATAGTTTTTTCACATTTTACCTCCTCCATTATGATAGTTTTGTTAAATGATTGTTGTAATAAACTGTTTGTTCAGTTATGTGATTAATTGAAATCTCTCTATTCAGTGGAACAAGTTAAGAAAGGAGCTGAAGTTCAAGAAAAAATCATCACAGCAGCTATTGAACAGAGGTTAGTGTTTATTTTTCATATCACATTTCATTATTTTTCCTGTCATTTTTTTATCTCATTTCATGTATCTCTTAATATTTCATGCTTGTCATTTATCATTATAAATGATTTGAGTAATTAATTAAAGAGAAAACTTACTCTTTCTCATGAGTTCATTGAGTACTAAAAAGGGAAATTTAAATTAGTATTAATTTTAAAAGGGGCCTTGCATTTCATTACAGTATGAAATCTCATTTCTTCTATAAGCAATTTACTGACTGCTTTTAGATGAAGAAAAGACTGAATTTTGCTTAGTTTCAAAGCAGCTGCATTTCTCTAACATTTATTCAATGAACATGTTACTTAGCTTTAATCATTTTCAGCTAGCAGTTTAAGGAAATAATAAGAACTCTCATCAGTGAACATGTTCATCAGATTTAATAATTTTCAGTTTGCAGTTTAAAAAATTAATAGTAATTAATTTAAAAATTATTAATAATAAGGCAGCCTGGTTAAAGATAAAATTAAATGGAATACTTAAAAATTATGTTTTATAAAATAATAATGATACTACGAGTATTAATGTGCATAAATGATGCATCTATTTATTTTTTTCTGTTCATATTGGAATCAATATATATATATAATTATAAATTTTTTCTCATGCAACCATTTCTTATGATACTGTTCATACATCCAGGAAAGATCCTGATTATCCAAAAGAACTGCAAGAAGATTTTTATTGTCCATCAGTAGTCATTGAATCATCTGCACCTTATGGAGGAAATGGAAAATCTGTGGAATGTCTGCATTGTCACAGGCAAATGTGGCCTGATTTAAATCACAGGTAAAGAATTTAGTTAGTTTTAGTTTTGAATAATTCAGAAAAGATTAGAGAAATTTTATATTTTTTGGAGCTGAGAAAATTTTTATTTATTTTTGTATGATTTGCAATTTGTGCATAATTTTTTAAAGAAATATTACAAATAAAATGTACATATGAAAATGGATGAAATTTATTTCTTTTATTCTTTTTGCTGTAGAAATGAAGATAGTTGTGAACCATGCTCACATTCTTTGGTTTGGAATATGTCTCATGAATCCGTGGATCATTCACAGCCAGTTGAACTCCGAGTTATGATAGACCCTGATAAGAAACTTCCTACTGTATATAGTAAAGTTGGTATGTCAAGTTTAAAATATTTTAAATGATGTTAAAACATATAGGCAATATTTAATTTCAATTTAATAGAAATATTTTACAAAAATTAAGTTTTAAAATGGAGTTAAAATTTCCCAATTAGATGTGATCAATCATGGGTATATTAAATGATTAGTACTATAATGAAAGTATATCTTTTTCAATCTGCACATGTTTATTTCCTTAGAGATTTTTGCATCAATAAGCCCTGTAATCAATTAATATCCTCAAAACAGTATATAACTTAGCTTTTACCAATATAAGTGTTTAGCTGGCTGTCTTATCATTTCTTAAAGAAAAACCTTAGGTAATTTTCTGGCTCTATTTCGATTTGACTGTTTTATAAATGAAAGCTGCAAATTATGTTTTGAGCAAGTTTTCATTATTCAGGAAAGAAATTTATAATTCAAATATAGTCAGGTATATTAGTTTCATTTTAATTGCACAGTTGTGGGTAATTAATTAATATATGCAACAGAAAATTTTCATTATTAATAATGGTAAATATTAGTATTTATTCTTGTTGCATATTAGGATTGATTGTTGAACTTAAATATGCTTCTATTTTGAGAAATACTTTAAGATTTAGGAATAAGGTGAAATTAATTAAATTTAGCTGAAATTTAATTATTTACAATTAGCAATAGTAAGTGTAATGAGAATTGCTTTTTGTAAAGATGCACCTTTTGCCACAACTTTATTTAAAAATGCAATTACCATCCTCAAATTATTTGAATCTCAGCATTACTTAACATTTCAAATTTAAATTAATTGTTTTTGGTTTTTAATAAAAGGGGAAAAAGTCTTTATTGTGATAATGAATATTGCTGTATGAGAAGTCATTGTATCAGCTGATAATAACTTGTGAAATGTAACAGCTACTGATAGGTTAAATAACATATATTAAACAGAAAATGAAATCAAATTTTATATATAAATGGCCATTTTTCCAAATTACTCATGTCTAATTTCCTCAGTCACTAAGAGTACATTGAGTTGGCTGGGCGTATTATCAAAAATTGTGTAAATATGAAGGGTTGTGGTATTATGTTAATATCATTAAGACATCACATGATAATTTTAGTTCTCTCATGTATTAGAGTAAAAGGAATGTTTTATAAGGTCAAGAAAGAGACTTACATTTTGTGCTTGTAATTTTTAAAAAATATTTTACTGTATTATTTAGAAATTTTAGATTTGTAAAGTGAGCTAAGAATTAAATATTATTTTATGCAAGTTATACATCTTCTTTATACAAAACTGAACAGTTTCTCTATGTATTATAATGCACAAGAAATAGTGAACATGTCTGTTTTAAACCTAAGCTTATTTTTTATGATTATTATTAATTTTGTGCATCCCCTTTTTTTAAATTATTTCCATTCCATTATATTCCTTTAATGTACCATTCCATCGTATTCCTTTAAGTTATATTCCCACATTGATTGAATGATCCAAATGGAAATCTGTATCATTGGCAACTGCCGCTTTTAGTACTTTATCAAATTAATGATTCTGTAGAGATAGATTTTAGTTTATATAATTTTTTATATTTTCCATTATATATAGTAAATTCTTCATGAGAGGCATTATTAATTATGAGATAAATTAAACCTAGCAAGCAGTTCTCAGTTAGTGAGCATAATGGTTTTATTGTTGGTAAAGTTGGATCAAAATCAAATTTTATACTTTTATAATAATAAAATACTTTATATAAGGAATGTTAAGTTATATTAATGTTATGTCAGGAATGTTAAGTTAATAAGGTTTATATTAAATATTTTATATTAAGGAATGTTAAATGTCTAATCAGAATACTGGAAAGATATTCTGATTAGAAAGATTTATTATTTATATACGAGGGCCATCCAGGAAGTAGATTACGTTTCCGTCTGTGTCCGCTAGAGGCGGGGCTAGCGTGGCCATCTTGGGGTCAGAGCGTTGCGCAGCTCAGTCTGCATCTAGCCGTGCTAGTGAGAGGTTCGTGCTGTGCTCCGTTCAGATACTGTGACGGTTTGAAATGTCTGCGTTAATTGAAAATCCCGCGAGCTGCGAGGTTCGCTCAGTAATAAGGTTTCTGACTGCAAAAAACTGTAAAGATAGAATCTATCAGCAGCTTCGTGAAGTATGGGACAAAATCATCAGCGAAAAGCTTGGTTACCACAAGTTTTGTGCAAGATGGATTCCAAAAAATCTTGACAGAGGACCACAAAAATCAGCGAATGGCTGCAGCGTTGAACTTTTTGGACGCTTACCATAAGGATGGTGACTCTTTACTCGATCGCATCGTTACTGGTGACGAAACATGGGTGAAACATGTGAACTGTGAAACGAAATTGCAATCAATGCAGTGGGGGCACACAAGTTCTCCCCAAAAACCCAAGAAATGCATGCAAACAATGTCGGCAAGGAAGATGATGGCGACTGTTTTTTGGGACAGAAAAGGTGTAATTTTGGTGGACTTCCTGGAAAGAGGCACTACAATAAACTCTCAAAGGTATTGCCAAACTCTCCAAAAACTCAGAAGAGCAATTCAAAACAAGCGCAGAGGAATGTTGAGCTCTAAGATCTTGTTGATTCACGACAAACGCCCGGCCCCACACGGCAAATGTCACTCGTAAAGTTCTTGAATCTTTTAAGTGGGAGTTGTTTCCTCATCCGCCGTACAGTCCCGACCTGGCACCGAGCGACTTCCACCTATTCCCAGCAATGAAGAAGTGGCTGGCTATGCAGCGTTTTGATGACGACGCACAGCTGCAAGAAGAGGTAACGAAGTGGTTGAAGGCGCAGGCGGCCGAATTTTTCGACGAAGGAATTTCCAAGCTCGTACATCGCTACGATAAATGCCTTAATTTGTATGGTGACTATGTAGAAAAGTAGTATTTGAGTGTGGCTTTCATCTGTATATAATAAAATTTGTTTCCTATACTTTGTTTATTTTTTTATTCCAAAACGTAATCTACTTTCTGGATAGCCCTCGTAGTTTACAAATTCATAAAAAAACTAAGTACATAATAAGTGTTATTTTGTACATGCTTGCATGTGTTTTTAGAATGTGTTATGAATGTATTTTATTTTGTGTACTTTTAATGTGATGTGACTTTCTATCAAAATGTGCATGTTAAAAAAAAATATTCTTGTGTTTTATTCTAAATGCTTTCTGTATTCTGCAGCTATGAAGTCATTTACTGTAGATATATTAATATTACATTAGATGCGGTTTTGTTGTAATATTTATGAAATTTGTATCTGCATGAAATATTTTTTAACCTTCTAAAATGTAAAATTTGTTAATTCATTTTAAGAAGATAAATTTTTTATAGTAATTTTTAGAAGTTTTATAGCTGCAGAGTCGTTATATGTGTTGCTTGTGATGCTCTTCTTTCTCCTGTGTTGTGTTTCTGTTTTGGGCTTGTGACTGTAAATTAAACCTAGCCTGTTTTATTTTACCAGCAGATATGTATATTAAATAAGAAACAATTTTGTCCTCTCTGTGTACTGATGAAAGAGCTGCCTCATAAAGGATGAAGCTTCTAGAGAGAGAAACCTTTGGAATGCTTATATGATATTTCAATGCATATTACTGTATTTTTTATATTGTAAAATATTAGACTTGGATTACTTTTTCATAGATGTATTTTCTTATTTTTTCTTAGCTTTATGAAATTGAAGTTTACAGCAATGTTTAAAAAAGTGTTCATATTTTAATTGTAATGAATACAATTTAAATTATTGAAAACTGTTTTAATTTTCATCCTAATTTGGATTCTGTCCTTAAAACAAATATAAATTGTTTACACTAGAGGTGTAAAAACTCTTTGTGATTCATTACACTATATAACACATCATGAAGAGTTTATAAAATGTTTTTTTTTTTCCTATAAAAGCAGTATTTTAGTTTCTTAATTTTTGTTTGTAGAAATAAAAACTGTACAGTTTTGTATATGAATTTATTTGTATGTATTTAGTATTTTTTATTTATTTCTAAGTTATTTTATCATAATTATTAGAAGTATTGTAACTAACAAGTATCATGGTCTCTATAACCTGTCTCTTTAGGAGTAAAATATTTAAAGAAAGGGGAAAAAAAAGAGAGAGAAAGAGAGAGAAACATGGGAAAAAAATGGAATATATTATGCTTTTGGGGAATATTATGGCATGAAATTAATGTGTCTCTTTCCAGTAATTTCATATCTTGCCTTTAATGTCTACAGATTTAAAAATAAGTGTTTATGTGTATTTGTTTTGTAATGGCAATCATATGCCAGATTCCCCATAACTGTACATGAAATATGCGTGTACTTTGCATAAAATTTAAACAGAAAGTCTAGGAAGATTTACATATCAGTATTATTATGTCTTTAAAGCAGAAAGCAGTTCATAAGACCTGTTCTATTATGTAATTTCAGGATCAGCTGGTTTTTAAAAATTATGTATTGCATGTTTTGTCATAAAATGTTTATGCAGTATAAGCCTTCTTAGACAATAGATCTACAGTTATTCTTAAAAATATGTAAAACATTTTAATTCATAATAAGAAATGTGAAATTAAGTATAAGAAGTGAGTAAATAAATTAAAATTTTTCTCTCTCAGAATCAAGAGATGATGATGATTCTGGACGATCCTCCTGGTCTGAGGTGGCAAGTTCAACATTTAGCAGTGAGGTAGACTTAAAAGAAGAAAGAAAGTGGCCAACCTCTTTTTGGACACAATTAAAAGTACTCACTCAGCGTAACTTTATGGAAGCACGATCTAGAATGTTATCCAAATTGAACTGGGTGCAAACAATTGGCCTAGGAATTGTGTGTGGCCTCATCTGGTACCAAATTCCCCGAGTTGAATCTTCAATTGCAGATATCAAAGGATGGGTCAGTATTCTTTTTTTGTAATAAACACCTAACAATTTTATTTTAAATTCAGTTCTTTAAAAGAGTTATATTTTACTGTCTGTAGGACTAAGCTAATGTAACATTAGAAGCTTTAATTTCTGTCATTAGCTGAAACATTCATTAATTTCTCTCTGTAGTTTTTATGTAAAGAGATGTTTCTTTTTTGTCATTTTTACTTGTCGAGCAGAGGAGGAGAAAGTTTCTATTTAATCTTTAAAGTTATAGTCTTGTAAATTTACAAATTTAATGAGACTGTTTTGATTACTGTCGCTAATTATTATTTGATTTAGCATGGGGGGAAGAGAAGAGATACATTTGCATGAAGCTGTTAAATTATTTAGGAAAGACTAGGAGAAGGGGGGGGAAGAGCTAGTATAGTTAATATTCAGTAGTCTCTGTAATTAATATTCTATATAATCATATATTCTCATTAGTAATTTGTTAATTGTGCACGAAGCATCTGTTTAAATCTCTAATCTTAAATTGAACTTTAGTTGACTTCAGAAACTAAATTCATGTAAATCTTTCTTGATATATTGAACACATTTTAAGAAAACTCTTTGTTTTCATTAATAATATTTGCCATGTACCATCTGTTATTTTTATTTGATTATTTTTGTTAATTTATTCATACTGTTACACTGCATTATTCTTACCTTTAGCTGACTTAGAAGAGTAAGAATGCATAATTAATTTTTGTTAACATACATTATAGAAAATGACAATGCGAAAAGCCATTTTAGCTAAATAATTTATTATAGTAATTGAAAACAAATGGTAAATGATACATGAAGTGCATGTTGTTTGTTTTAATATAATTGTCATAGCCTTTCCTAAAATTTTCCATATAATTTATTTAGATGTTTTTTGGCACAACTTATTGGATGTTATTTGCTCTTTTTGGATCCTTAATTTCATGTGAGTACATTTATTTATCTTTTTTATTATGACTATCTATATGTTACAGAAACATTACATAGTTCTGCAATCACTATATTTTCAACCTAATTTGTAGTGTAGATTAATTATTAATATTTATTTACTAGATTTAGGAAGAATTTTATGAAAAACGTTTTTAAAATTCATTCAAATTAATGTGATTGCGATTAAAAATTTTGAATTTAAAATTGAAAAATCTAAAATTAAATTCCTAATGAAAGGTTTCCTTACAATTAATTGTTAACTAGTAATAGTAAGGATAAATACTTATTAATATAGATCAAATTCTGCTTTATAAACTAGAGTCTTCCTTGCTTAAAAATTGATTCATTCTATATGCAAAGTAAAAATTAATTATTATAGAACCATTTCTTCCTTCTTAAAAAAATAACTTGCAAAGCCCATTTGAATAATCTATTTTGCTACATTAAAAAAAATGATTGAAGTTAAATTGAGATTGAAGAATTACATTTTTTTTTTTAAATTGGCATTTTTAAAAATGTAAAAACAGCCCGACATTTATGAAAATTTATCTCAGATGTTTTTTCCCCAATAAAATTTTAGAATTAAAAATATTTAAATAATTTTTTTTAAAGTAACTGACTTAAGTTGTTAATGTTATAGTATAATTTTCTTTAATTCATTTTGCAAGATTTTTTTTCATTCATGCTACTTTTATGCACTTTTGTTAGCATTTCCCATATTCACTATTCTCTTCTGTCCTTATTTATTTACGCTTCTGCAATTTCAGTTCCACCTGAAAGGGAAGTCATTAATAAAGAGAGGGCATCTGGAGCTTATAGACTATCTGCTTATTATATTGCGAAAATGATTGGAGAACTGCCTCTTGTAATAACACTGCCAACAGCTTTTCATTTGATCTCTTATCCAATGATGGGTTTCCATTCCATCCAAACATTTTTCAGCCTATGGGGATTTTTATTATTGAGTACCGTTGTAGCTCAAGTAAGTATTCATTCATATGCACACATACTTTTTATTACACTGCTGATTTTACTAATTAAACCTATATTTATGCAGAAAGTTATGTAAATTATATATTACTGTGATTCAAAAGAATATCAATATTATAATAGTATGCAACTTATATAATGAATATTTGAAAATAATTCCATTTATTTATTGTAAAAATATTGTACATTTTATAATTATTAAAACCCATAGATCTATTTTAATGTATATTTAAGCTTCTAGATATATGTAATTTTCAAAAACAGAGTAAGGTTTTTTGAAGAAAAGGTCACAGATAAATTGAAATATTGAAAATATCTTGATTCATGTTAAAAATCGTGATGTTATTTTTATAATGATATTAATCGATATAAAAATACTGAAAAGCTCGGGAAATGTTGAATTCCGGGTAATTGAGCATATAAGAAATGCAGTTTATAGTAGAAAAGCCAAGTGAATGGAAGAAAACATCTGCAGTTTAAAATTAGCAGAAGAGTTACCTTATTTGTTACCAACTTTAATATTGAAAGCCTACATTTAAATTATGTAATATTTATTTAAAAAAAAAAACAGTATTTCAGACATAAACGTCAAAGTAAAATATTCTAATACAAAATTCCGTTGACCCTGAAAATTGATGGAGACCTTACAAAACTTACGCCAGTCATTCTGGCAGAAGTTTGAAGGAAAAGATGATCACTCTTACGTTAGTTAATTAATCAGAATATATAAGCTGCGGATATAACATATAAAAAACTTAATAACTTGTCACAATTTTTCATATTGGACAGTCAGTTTTTATCTATTTTCAAATAAAGTTGCACTCTTCATGATATGAGGATCTCAGAATTTTGAAAATATTCTACTGCATGCTATTTCCTTGAAGGCAAGTCCGAAATTTTAATATTTTTTTCAAAATATGATTATAATAACTAACAGTTACCTTATATTGCCTTTTACAAAAATTAAACTGATAGAGAGTAATTAGGTTTTACACAAAAGCAAGACAAAGATCTTATGATTTGATTGTGATGTCACTCTTATCTGTTATTGCCACGAAATCGCACTGTTTGGTAACAGTTTTGGTTTGATCTGATTCATGGATCTATTCATATGTTAAGATGGAGTTACAAATTTCTTATTTGCTTATTTTTTCTTTAAAAGATCTATCATTTAAAATTAAAAAATATTCCAGTTACTTGAGCTTTGTGGTTAGTTGAATACTAGATAGTCGGGCTTTTACTGTAGCAATAATTTTAAATATATGTTATGCAAATTCAATAAAAATTCTATGCTTTTATTTTATAGAGTGTGGGATTATTTGTTGGAGCATCTTGTGTAGATCTTCAAGTGTCCGTCACCGTCTCTGCATTGTTTTCTTTATCAACTATGTTATTTGGTGGATATTATGCATCTTCATTGCCACCCTGGTTACAGTGGTTGCAGTACTTTTCCATGGTACACTATGCATTTCAAAATATGCAGATTGTTGAATTTGGAGGAGGGCCACCCATCAGGTAATTATTCTGTGCATACCTTTGTTAATACTGTATGTTTTTATGTCCATAATTTCAGACTTGGTTGAAGAATTTTTGATTGATGTAATACGTATATAAGAATTGGTAATGGAGCATAACAAAGACAAACATCAAGTAACAAGCCTGATTTAGAATTCATAATTGTGATTAGTGTTTATAGTTAAAATTCTGTTATTTATTTATTTATTGTAAGGTATATATAATAGGGGGACCGGAAAGTAATGTTGTTTCTGCGCATGTTGACAACAACATGCAAAGGGCAGAAGTGGAAGCAAATCCATGTCAAACACTCTTAACCAAGCTTGGTCGACCATCCAAGAACATTTAAAGCAGAATGGAAACATAAGCAAAGCAGGTGTTTGAGTCCCCCCCTATAATATGTCCGAAAGGAACAAAAAAAGCCAACCTATCCATCACATGCAACGTATTGGCACCATAACAGAACATGCAACGTCAATGGCACCATACAGAAGCCGTTTTTTAATCGTTTGATTAAGTGGAGACAAAAAAATAAATCCTATATGATAATCCAAAACTCAAAAGGCAGTTTTAGTAGGGGTTACAAAGGGTTTACATCCCGAAAAGGCGTTTCTAGGTGTTTGATGGAGTATTTGCGGAATTGTTCATTTTGAATTGCTGAAATCTGGACAAACTGTTAATGCATACCTTTATTGTGAACAATTAAATGGAGTGAACCAATCTTTAATCTAAAATTATCAATTGTCAACAGAAAAGGCGTCATTCTGCAACACGACGATGAAAGACTGCACTGTGCAAGACGAATACTGGAAAAAATTAATGAATTGGGGTGGGAGGTACTGCCACACTCACCCACCATAATCGGCCGATATTGTAGCATTTGATTTCCATTTATTCGGATCCCTACAACATTTTCTTAGTGGCAAAAAAATTTGAAAATTTGGATGATGTTCAAAATGTCCTCTCGAGATATTTTACTCAAAAACCAATTGATTTTTATCGGTTCGGGATTGAAAATTTGCACATTAGAAGGTTGTGGATCCCAGCTTTATAGAAAAACAGAATTTTATAACTCACCAGGAAACAGTGACAAATGCTGTCATTAAGAAAAAATAATGAAAAACTATTAAAAACAAGCATTAATAGGAATATGAGTATATATAATATTAGTTTTTAAAGTTATTTATGCACAAATTATCCAAATTAAATGTAAAAATTAAAATAGAAAAACATCACGTATAATCTGCAAAATTTGCTAATCTACACAACTCTTGGTCCCAGGAGGTTTGGATTAAGAGAAAGCTGTTGTATATCAAAACATTTATATACAATGGAAAGTTTTAAAGTATAATATTTGCTAAATAAATAAGACAAAATATTTTTAGGAACTAACTGAAACATTGTTATATCTTGATGAAAGAGTTTTTATGTTATATCTTGATGAAAGTGATTATTTTAATGTATCTTATAAAGATTTGATCTTTTACATTAAACTAATAATTCTTTTTTTTGTTATTCAACAGATGTGCTGAAAGAAATTCACTTTATGAAATATGCCGTAAGAGTAACACTACAGCCTTCATTCCTGTTGATCACATTGTTCACCAGCAAGGACAGCCACTTTCGATGTGGATCAACACAGTCATTTTATTACTTTTTCTCATCGTATTTAGATTAATGGGCTATGCTGTGCTGCGATATGTGCGGAAACCTAAATAATATTGGTAGAATAATGTTTAAAATGTTTTGCAACCACCGAAATGTTTATTCTCAAGTGCATGCACACTGTCTTCAGTCAAGAACTCCATTGGACTCATTGATGTGATTATGTGGTAAACTGATGATTAAAAGCAACATATATTATACAGACTATAACATCAATATATATATATATATATATATGTATGTATGTATATGTATAATATATATATATATATATATATATATAGATATATATATATAAGTTTGGATAATTATAATTATCAGTTTTGCCCAGATTAAAAATGTGCTAGATAGATGCCTCAGGAAACATGACAAGTTAACATACAAATAGATGAGGGGATTTTTCTAGGAATTGATGTGTGCGATTATTATGCATTGCACTGCTCATTTTTGATGTTCACTAAGTGAACCAAGAAACATACTACTTTTAATTATTAATGTCTAGCCATTGTGATTCTTCTCTGTTTTAACGATATTGTACAGAACTGTGAACAAATGGATAATGATAACAATATATATTATTAGATAATATCTGTACTTGTGTGCCAAATAAATATAGAACAACACAGCAAGGCCCAAAACCCAATGGTGTATGAAAAATATCAGTGCTTGTGATATAAGGAACAACACCTTAGATAGGTTGTTCATAAAATGCCACGAACTGCTTTCTTGAATCCTGGCAAGTGTATTTTCGTCGAATTCTTTGTGTGTGAATGAAAGCAAAGAAGTGATGTGAGGCAAGTATTGTGTTACAAGAAGTTTGGTGGCTAATTCTTTTATGTTGTGTAATGGTCTCGGTTATATTTTCACAATATTAAGAGGCTGTTTGATTAAATACTTTTCAAGAAAGTGCACAAACTTGTCCTTAGATACATATATATATATATACATTGTTCATGATATAAATATATTTGAACATTTTATTAGATGTTTCATCTTCATTGCATTTTCTAAGTTCAAATTGTCATAAATCATATCTTAAGAATTCATTTTTGCACTTTGCTGTAGAAAAACTGCATTTGTTTTTGTATGGACTAACTTTGCAAAAAAGTTCCGCTTAAGTCATTCATTTATGAATTATGATTGAAACCTAAAATTCTTGGTGGATTTGAGTTTAAGGTTCAGATTTTTTTTTAAATCAAGTATTTGGGGGCAAATCAAAATTTAGTACCTGGATATCATTTATTTTCAAAGTTGATAGTTGGAACTGTAAAGTTAAATGCAATAAAGTTTTATCCATCTTGGTGAAAGCAGAAAACTATTGATAATAGTTTTTTCTTGCAGTCACAAAAAACATTATAGTCTTGGGGGAAGTATTTTCATGATTTGAAGTTGGCATTGATATCGTCACATAAAACTCTGTAGTGTCATTTCAGTAATGTGTTAATGTTGTAACAATTAGTGTGGTTTGTATACGTATGTATGTTTATAGTATATTTATGTGTGTCTGTCTTTTTAAAGTTCCAGAGAGCAAGTGCCTATGTAATTGTGGTGATTTATTTATATGACCAGTTATTAGAACAGTATAGCTTTAATTCTTTGTTTTATGTGCACTGGCTGCAACAAATAATGTTGTTACAAAACAACTTTCCACTGTTTCGAGTACAGTTTTAATGTTTCCAAATTGAAATGAAATAAAATTTCATACTTTGATGAAAAATTATTTTAATAAAGATATTTTTATAAGTTTATATTAATTACAAAAATGTTATATTTTTAAGGTATTCAAATGAGAATGATTTTCTCAGATCTTATTTTAGTAAGAAGTTTTCAAATAGTATTGTACATTAAAGATTTCATTTCTATTTTCTGTTTGAATTAACTATAAAATATTTTCATAGAGATATGGGAAATGCAGATTAATTTTAATTAGTTATTAAATATATACTAAATGAAAATTTCAAAAAGTTTTTATCAGATAGGAGCAGTCTCTTGTGAAAGCTAGATTAACGTTCCTAATATTGTGATATCACCATATGAGGTGCTACTGGGACTGTTTTCTATTATCATTTAAGCTGTGACACCAAATTACATACAAAATATTTGTCATTTAAAATAATATTTAATTTTTCTTAAATCTTTTTTTTTTTTAAATTTTATTTAAGAGGCATGAGTCCTGTATAAAATCAAAGATTGTATATTTTGTATTTGGTTTCTGTACATCTCCTGACTAACAGTTATTTTCTGTTTTCATAACAAAAAAAAATATGTTTCTCTATATTCCAGTAAGCATTATGATTTAAATTATTTTCTTATTAGTTTAAGCTATAATGTCCATTCTGATTTTTCTATAGCATTTTTTCAAATTAATTAGCTTTTCAAAAATTCATTTTTAATAGACTTTTGCACAGTAAATTTATTTCAATGGCCTACTGTTCAAAAACTTATTTTTATGCCATAAAATATTGAGAGAATACATGTCCAATGAACTATACAGACTTGAAAAAATAAAGAATTCACTGCATCAAATTGATATTGCAATCGTGTATACCCGTTTGTCATGTGATAATATTTATAAATATATTGCACTGCTCTAGGCAGTAAATATTGTATATAGTATTTACTTGCAAATTTATATCTGCTCTTTTTTTTTCCTCCCATAAAAAGTATGATTAAAATTTTTGTAACATTATTTCGTGATACACATTTTACATTTTACAAGTTAAAATGTAAAAATAAGCACTGACTGTCTAACTTGATGGTTCAGACTTTTGGTTGCTATAATTTTCTGCATCTTTTCCCATATTTTTATTCATATTTATGCAAAGTTTATATTATATTTTCATGAAGTATATTTAAATTTCATGCACTGCTTATAAAGAAATATTTTTTGGTTGTATGCTGAAATTTTTGGCTCCATGAATAAGAACTGTGTATGTGAAAGGTGGCCAGAATTGATTGTGATTGATAATGTTCCTTTGAGTGTTTGTATCTGCTTGTGTGTTGATCTCTGTAAAGGAAAAATAATGTTCAATGACCAGATTGATGTAATAATATGTGCTTATTTTTAAATCAATGTGTTTTCAGAAGTTATTTTTTAGGTTTTATTTTTATGTCATCATTAAATGTAGTAATGGGTTGTTGATTTTTTTTTAATCTAATAAAATTTCATTTTTTTGGGGGGATTTTTTTTGGAAGGGATTCAAAAAAAAATGAGCGTCATAAAATTTAATATGTATTTATGAAGTTACACTGGATTAAATGTTCATGAATATAAGAACTGCAAATTTAATCTAGGGTCAATAATATATGCTGCATGTTTAAAAGAAAATTCATATTTTCTATTTCTCATTTTTTTCCTTTAAAAAAATGTAATGAATCCTCTTGCCCCTCTAAAACAATCACCTCTAAAAATGACCAGTATTTATGAGAACATTATAAATCTCAGTATTGAATATCATCTTTTTAAGATACTCTCTTCCACCAAAGACCAAAAATTACCTGGAACATAAAGTGGAGGTCTTAAAGAGAGTTCATTGTATGTATAATACATCAATCTGGTTTTAAAAATGCCCCTTATGCAAAAATTTTGTAGTTGGTGTATTTCAAATTTTTATATTGGAGTATGTTCACAAGAAATGATGCAGTCACTGTAGTTTATTGTGAACTATGTGATTAATCTAACTGATAGGTTGTGCTTTGTTATTTTGAGTTGGTTATATATAGACAAATATAAATTTGATTGTTTACTGTTCTTAAACCTTTGCATTTCTCGAGAAATTTTAAAAAGTAATATACTGAAATTGAAATACTATTTAATATATTAAGCAAGTTAAATTTTTATTCGAATAGTTCTTAATGAATAAATTATTTGTCTTTTGCATGAAAATTCAGATTAAAATTCTTAAAAATCTGATATAGATTTCATCTTTATTTTGCATATGGGCCATTTGATTCATTTCTCTATCCAAGAATGTAAACATTAAGAACATTTCTCTCTTATAAAAATCTGCCCAATGTTTAATTTCACTTATGCTTTTTTATAGTGTTTTATAAGTTTTTACATATTATTGTAATTTAAAAATTATGCCCTCTTCATTACACGGTAGCTAAAATATAATTTTAATAATTATCGATTAAAATTTAATGCCACCTTTTCTTTATAATCATTCCATTCTTAAGAATTTTTAAGTTACCAGTTTCAGTCACTAGATGACAGCACGTGGATATATTTCTTGTTTATGTAATGACCCTTGCATTACATGACTATCTAACTGCCCTAAGGTATTTCTCTTCATACCTTTTCAATTTTTATAATCATTCCATAATTAAGAATGTTTAAGTTGCCGATTTCAGTCACTAGATGGCAGCACTTATGACAAACTTCTTATTTACACTGCATTAAATGAATTTTTAACGGGCCTCTTTCTCTTCAGAATATTTCCTGTAATATTTTATGAGAAATCCATATATATTTACAGATATTAGTATTTCATTGTTACCAGAAAAGTACATAACCAACATCATACATGTGGAATGATTTCGTGTAATTCTTGCATAATTCTTAACTAATTAAGCATCATATTCTTAACTATCTTACGACAGCTGTATTTCATTCCTTGTTGACACGCACAATGGAAATTCTGTGATTTTTTCCCCCTAATATGTCTTTAATTTCACTAATATATACTTGGTAACTAATTCTTCCCTTTTAGTTAGCCATATTTTGATCTTGTTATTTCCCAGTGTGGCTAATTTTATTTAATTATCAAAATATCGAGAACATTACTGTAATTCGATTAATAATATTTCTGAAGGAAAATCTGAAAAGCAGTGTAAAAGAGACTTGAGTGTAATTAGCAAGAGCTGAAATACTTTCTGTTGTTTCCATACTGATAGCTCACATGCATCAAATGTTATTTCTAAATGTGGCCTAAAAATCATACAATGATGAAATGAGTTCTACCATTAAACACTGCCTTTAGATAGAGGGCCAGCCTTATTTATAAATTATGTGTTTCGTCTATGTCGTATTAATTGAAATCATTTGTTCTCTTTTTTATATAAGTATTAAAGTGCTCTTACTTCACAACTGTGTTTGCTTAATGTATCAATTTCTCAATCACTATGACAATCACAGAATGACTAAGGGGGAAAAAAAAATCCAAAGAAAAAAATATAGTATTTAACTTATAGAAGTATTAAATTATTGAAGTGTCATATGACAGACAATATTTTTAGTTTTTGTTAATTTTCTGATATAAGAATCAAATTTGGAAACCATTTCCGTAATTTCAAAAAGAAAGGGGGGGAGTGGATTAAGAAATCTTTTAATGGGCTTATCAGAGAATGAGTACATAGGACAATTTCTTTTTACTCCTATTTTGCATCCCATATTTAAAATTTTGGAACTTGAGATATAGATTCTGAAAAATATAAAAGTTGCAGTTTATAGTTATTATGAGTTGTTTTCTGGCATTAGATCTTTATGGGTAATATTTGATAAACAGGTGGCAAGGTGGTCAGTAAAAGACTAAGGATTATTGAATATGGGAGACTTTTGGAATCAATAGATTCCAGTTCCTTACATAATCAATAAAAGTTTGAGCAAATTTAGGAGAAATTAAACATAAAATAAGCAAACAACATGATTGAGAGAATTTAAATATAAATATAGAACAAATTCTTTGGTATTATTAAAATATTTTAATTAAAATTTTTTTTTTAATATGTAACAATTTTTTTAAACATACATACGGCACTAAAATCAAAAGCGGAAAGTAAAACATTTAAGAGACTCCTTGGTCATATTATCATAATTAGATGATGGTACATGTGGGGGGGAATACCCATTAAGAATTTAATCTACGGGACTGATGCGATTGAGATTATATTGATAATGCTTGATGGTCACTTTCATATGTTCATTGAGATGTAGTTAAATGATAGTCAGGAATGAAAACATAGCATTTCTGTAGTGCAAGTCATGCAAGAGCTTTGATAAGCATTCATTTGCATTATTTGATAAGCATTATTTGAGCATTCATTTGATATGAGTGTTTTCCAAAAGTCTGAAAGCCTTCAGATTTTATATTAGGCCTAAAGGGGCACTTTTTTAACATTTATTTATTAAATATCATGTTCTTTGCACTTAAGCCATACAATTCAATCCAACAACAATATCACAAAACAATTTGAAAAGATCATATCTTTAGAATTTCAAATACAAAGTCTCGCCCCCTGCAGATAATTTTTTTTGTTCCCCGAATAGTGTTGCCGTTGCTCGCTTTGAAATCGTCAAGTTTGTTAATCAAAAATTTGTTGAAGTTTTACAAAATATGAAATAGATACTAAAAAATTTGCAAATATTGCCTTCCAAGTGCCCATACTGGAGTGCAAGACTTTCAAATTTATTATAGACTATTCAAAGTTTGATGTCTCTAGGTACCGTTGTTTTTTCACATTGTAAGAAACATACATGAATTCATGCAGATTCTTTGTTCTTTAATTTCTTTAAATAAAATACAGGGCTCTAATATTTGCTAGCAACAATCTGAAAAGTGAAACGTTGCTTATAATGAACCAATCAACGCAAAATGATATTAATAGCCCTTCTGACTAATGCCCTTTGGGCTAAAAAAAATGAACTACATTCTTCAGAGAAACGCTAGGCCTCACATGTGGTAAGACAACACAACGTGTCAAAGCTTTGAAGAAAATTAAATTGGCTTTCCATACTGCATTCCAGACCTAGCGTTGAAGTTACAAAGCAATTTGTTTCCTACGCGACAGCTCAATATACAAAAGTTTTTCTCCACAAAAAAATCTGAGACATTTCTCAAGTCATATTGCAGTAATTAATGTAGTGTTGTTGTGTTTTCAGCAGTGGCGTAGCTAGGGTGGGGCAAGGGAAGACATCTGTCCCCGGGCGCAGCATCCAGGGGGCGCAAAACTGATGTTACGAAATTTTGAAATCAAATGTTTTCGATTCTTGACACACAAAAAGGGGCGGAAATTCTTCAGTTGTCCCCGGACGTTGAAAACCCTAGCTATGCCTCTGGTTTTCAGTGAAGATATACATAGTACATATGTATATGTTATGTACTGTAAATGGTTAATGTGTAGAAAAAAACTATTTTCAACAGTATAGTTTGAGTCCCCAGTGAACACGAATTTTTTTAACATGAGCTCTTGATTTTTTCGGTCCTTTGGGATTTGTGTTAACCGCGGTTTACTGAATATGCATATTTTTTTTTCAAAATAAATAAATTCACAATGAAATCATAGAATACAACTCTGTTATAATAAAACCAAGAACTTAAATCTAGTGCAGAATTTCTTGAAAAAGTAATAAAAAAAACAGCTATTATGAGCTTACTATTGAATTGCTTAAAAAAATAAAAATAAAAACCGCTGTCAGAGCACCAAGCTGCAGCACTGGTTGAATTATATTAAAAATTACTAAGTCAAAATACCCATCTAAACTGCAATAAATATATTTTATTCTGAAAATCTATGCCAAAATGAGATATGCAAAGAGCCAAAACAAAAGAGATATGCCATTTCATTCAAATCCTAAATTATAATTGAAAATCACCTCGTTCTATTCTATGGTGTGATTTTTTTAATCATTCATTCATTTAAAATAAAATTTAGAGTTCATGCAATCAAGAGTTCTAAATTATTTAAAGAAACATTTAAATCATTAACATTAGTACTCTTGACCACTTTTTAATATTTATAGCAACCTTAGGCGGTGCTGCCGTCTAGTACACGATAGAGAAACTACTGTAAGATTTAATAGTAAGCATTTATAATAATCGTACAAATCCGGCCTTTGGGAGACTAATCCAGCCTTTTAAAGCTTATTATCAATCTTAACGTATGAAAATGTTTAAATTAGATGTAACTAAAACATATCCAAGAATAATAGTGTAATGAGAAAATAAAAAAATATTGATTGAAATTAAAGTATTTTAAACATAGTACATTCGGCAATGAAACTGACGTTTTGCATATTTGTGTATACTATTGTGTGTGTTTGTGATAAGTTAGTACAAAGGCGTAGCTAGGGTTTTCAGCGCCCGGGGACGATTGAAGATTTTTCGCCCCTCTCTGTGTGCCACGAATGGAAAACACTTCATTCTAAAATTGTGTACCATCAATTTGGCGCCCCCCCGGATGCTGCGCCCGGGGACAGATGTCCCCCTTTGCCCCACCCTATCTATGCCACTGAATTATTTTATACAAGCTAAATTCAACATAGTAAGGCGTTTAGCTACGTCTTTAGAATATTTCAAGGGGGAAAAAATGGCAAACTTTCGTTTTTTCTCGAAAGGGGCGGGAATTCAAAGTAAATGAGAAAGAACCGTCTAATCATTGGTTGTTTTCAGCGTTAACGCATATATCTTCGGAGCAAGAGTATTTTTAATCAAAAGAAAACCTTAATGTGTCCAAAGAAGAGTTATCTAAAATGTTAAAAAATCAGATGTGGACAGCACATGACTTCCTTGTACGGCCCATTAAATTATACACATTTTTTGCTGCATTTTATTTAAACTTATTTCGTTGAGTGTCGTTACAGATGTATTCTTATTCAATCAGTTCATTTGTCACTGAACAAGGCAAAAATACATAAAAACTTAAAACTTTTTCCTTACGGGGGGGGGGGGGGGGGGGGGGGGGGGGGGGGGGGGGGGGGGGGGGGGGGGGGGGGGGGGGGGGGGGGGGGGGGGGGGGGGGGGGGGGGGGGGGGGGGGGGGGGGGGGGGGGGGGGAGGGGGGGGGGGGGGGGGGGGGGGGGGGGGGGAAGGGGGGGGGGGGGGGAAAGGGGGGGGGGGGGGGGTGGGGGGGGGGGGGGGGGGGGGGGGGGGGGGGGGAGGGGGGGGGGGGGGGGGGGGGGGGGGGGGGGGGGGGGGGGGGGGGGGGGGGGGGGGGGGGTGGGGGGGGGGGGGGGGGGAGAGGGGGGGGGGGGGGGGGGGGGGGGGGGGGGGGGGGGGGGGGGGGGGGGGGGGGGGGGAGGGGGAAGGGGAGGGGGGGGGGGGGGGGGGGAGAAGGGGGGGGGGGGGGGGGGAATACGGGGGGGGGGGGGGGGGGGGGGGGGAAATAGAGAAACATAAAACACCAATATACAGTTAAAAACAGTTAAACAAAATTTTTAGAAGTAAAATTCGAATTTCAACGCAAAACCAACTGTTGGTTTTAGGATTGGCATATAAATAACATTCTCAAAAGAATCATCCACTTCTAACAAAAAAAAAAAAAAAAAAAAAAAAAAAAAAAAAAAAAAAAACACTATGGCAATATACAAAAAGAAAACTTTATCAAAAAGAAAATCAGTCATATGAAATCTTACCACATTCTACCAAACCATAACAAGAAACTTTCTCAATTCCAGATACATTTTTAACTCATTATTTTTACAATTTAATATCAGTGTTGCCAAAATATTAAAGCTTAAAATTATCCTTTATAAACAAATACTATCAACAACTAAATCGGCCAGCGGGCAGGAAGACATATTTCGGTGCACAAAACTAAAAGTTTACTTTTGGTCTGGATCGCCAAAAAAGACACTGAAATTGGTGCACAAACCGATTTAATTCACTATTCTACAAAGAGTTTCAAATGTAAGTAAATGGAGGCTTCGTTAGGCTCAGTAACAGTTGAAGAACGTTTAAATTGTTGATAATTCTGCAACTACATCACACAGATTAACTAAAGGCATAAAAACTTTAACCAGAACATAGGAGCAACGCAATTCCATCACTTTTAAACACCAACATATAAGAATAATAAAACGGACCTCACTAAGCCGGGTAACAGAGTGGGTATGTATATGTATATATATAGAATATATATATCTCTCTATTGTTTCAAAAGAATAAATTGAGTTTAATTAAAAAAATTAAATTTAAATACAAATTTAATTAAATATTCTTTGCGCCATTGCTACAAGGAATGAAATTTAAATTTGTTTAAATTTAAATTCTAAACAAATACGTATAAAAGTAAAAAGTAGAAAAGCAAATTTAAATTCTAAAAAAAGGAAAAAAGCCAAAATAATTTAAAATAATTTAAAAATATGCAAACATGT